GTCGGGGATGAGCACCTCCTTCCCGGCCTCTCCTTGCAGGGCGACGGTGCCGCAGCCCTGAACATCCTGCAGCGCCCCATTGAAGCCGCGCACATGCCTGATGGCGCCACTCGGCTGCAAGTCGACGAAGGCTTCCTTCGTCCCCATCAGGTGGTGGGAGCAACCGCTGTCGAGCAGGACCACCGCCAGGTTCGCCTGCACAGCTGCCGCCACCGCCTGGAAGTCCTCTCCAGCCTCCGGCGCCAGAGAGATGGTCGGCTCCACGACGCCGACCAGCGAGCACGATGCCGTCTTGTCGTCTCGCCCCTTGCCGCCAGTAGAGGAGTCGGCGTCCTTCGCCGAAGTCCATGTCTTGGTCGACTGCTTCTCCTTGCGCGGCTGGTTTCCTCCACGACGAGGACGACGGCTGCCAGACCTCCCACGGCCTCCCTTAGCATCGTCGTCGTCGGAGTCGCTGCGGTTGGGACACTCGAAGGAGAGATGGTCGGGGTCGCCGCACAGCCAGCATTCCCGACGTCGACCTCCTCCACCACGACCGCTGTCCTTGGTCGACTTCCTCTTGTCAACCTCCTTGGCCGGCTTCCAGCCACTGCTACCGCCACCGCCAGACTGCCCGCGCTGCCCCAGTCGGCCTCCTTGCTTCGCTGAGGTGACCAAGTTCGCCTGCGCCAAGAGCTCTTGCGACCGCTCAGCCTCGTGCATCGCCTCGTCCTGCAGGATATACGAGGTCAAGTTGTCCTCGTTGAGCGTCGCCCTTGTGCTCGGCGCCATAGACAGCCGCTTCAGTAGGTTGTAGCTGCTAGAGAGTCCCTGCATGACATGGGTGATGTACGACGCCGTGGAGTACTTCGCGCCGGCCATCCCGGCCGCACGCCGCCGTCTCGCCCCCACGCCGCCCGTACGCCGCTGTGACACCCAGCCGCCCGAGCCGCCCGTGTCACCTGCGCCACCCGAGCCGCCCGGACGCCTGTGCCGCTGAGGAGCCGAGCCACCTGTGCCGCTAAGGAGCCGAGCCGCCCGAGCCGCCTGTGCCGCTGAGTGCCCGAGCCGCCCGAGCCGCCTGTGTTGCTGAGTGCCCGAGCTGCCCGAACCGCCCGAGCCGCCCGAGCCACCTGCGCCGCCCGAGCCGCCCGAGTCACCTGAGGAGCCGAGCCGCTGGTCCCGCGGAGCTGCTGTTGCTGCTGGGCCGGCCGAGCTGCAGTGTTGCCGTGTTGCTGTGCTGCTGACCTGCCCGACCCGTCCTGTCTGGTGAGATCGTCGACTGCTGTCATGGCTACCCCTAGTGTCCTAGGTTTTGACGCTGAGGGTCGCGCCATTGACTTTAAGGTCTGGTTAGATGACCTGCAGCTGTTCTTACAGTGTGATAGGGCAGACAGCCTCTCTCTCTTTGACCTCACCTCTGGCGCTGTCCCTGCCCCTGCTGCTGATGCTGACGCCACTGTTCGCTCCCAGTGGGCCACACGCGATGATGCTGCACGTCTTGCTGTGCGTCGCCACCTCCCTACCTCTGAGCGTGCGCACTTTAGTCAGTACAAGAGTGCACAGACCTTGTACGACGCTGTAGTTGCGCGCTACTCCTCCCCTGCCACTGCTGCACTGAGCCGTCTCATGCTACCGTACCTCTTCCCTGACCTTGCTGCTTTTCCCACAGTCGCTGACCTCATTACGCACCTCCACACTAGTGACACTCGCTACCGCGCTGCACTCCCTGCTGACTTCTGCGCCAAGACCCCCCCCCCCATGTACATCACCCAATACTACATAGTCACTCGTCTCCCTGACTCCCTTCGCGTAGTCAGGGACCACTTCCTCTCAGTCTGTCCCACCACTCTCACCGTCGACCTCCTTGAGAAGTCCCTCCTAGCGGCCGAGAAGGGCATTGTCGCTGTAGGGGCCTCTCGTGGTGACCCGCGCACCCCCATCTTTGAGGGGTGTTCTCCTTCCCCCCTTCTGCCCTCTGTTGCCTCTGTTGCTGCGGCCGACCTCCTTGGTCTTGAGTCGGTCGGTGCGGCGTCTGCCCCTGGTGGGAGACGCCACCCTGGCAAGGGCAAAGGGGGCAAGGGCACTGGAGGAGCGAGCGGGGGCGGTGGAGGTGGAGGTAGCGGCGGTGGGGGGAGTGGGGGTGGCGGTGGGGGTGGAGGTGGGGGTGGAGGGGTCGGTGGCAACATTGGAGGCGGAGGTGGTGGCGGTGGTGGCAGTGGAGGAGGCGGTGGAGGCGGCGACGGCGGTGGAGGCGGTGGCGGAGGCGGCAGCAGTAGCGGAGGCGGCGGAGGCGGAGGAGGCGGCGGGGGTGGCGGTGGACCTGGTCGCGGGTCTTCGCAGAGGAGTGGCTCCGGTGGTGCCACGCGCCAGCAGCAGCAGCAGCGCGGTCGTGACGGCCTGTCCCCTCAGCAGCTCCGTGAGTGGTACACACAGCGTCAGTGTGGTGGGAGCTTTGGTCCCTGCACCTACGTCCTTCGCACCGGCGACCGCGCGGGTGAGCAGTGTGGGGGTGCCCACACCGCCCAGCGCTGCTTTGGCCGCCTGACGGACGCTTGGCGTCAGCAGTTCCCAGAGGCCAGTGAGATCAACCGCTGGGGAGAGCTGTCTAGGGCAGGAGTAGCTATCTTTGATCTTGACTTTGATGCTATCCTTGCTGCAATGTATGCTGTGACTATTAGTGATGAGGGTGACTGTTACCGGTGTTTCCCGCCCGACCCGGGCATTGGTACTGCTGCTCTAGGTGCCGGTGAGGCTGCTGCTCTAGGTGCCAGTGCGTCTGCGCCTTAAGGTACTGGTGAGTCTGCGCTCTCAGGTACTACGTCGGCTTCGGCCTCTCTCACCTTCACCCTTGACTCTGGGGCTTCTCGCTCCTTCTTTCGGGACCGTACCACACTCACGCCACTTAGTCGGCCGGTTGCGGTGTCTCTAGCTGACCCCTCTGGGGGTCCTGTCCTGTCTCGCTTCTCTACAGTCCTCCCGTGTCCGGCGGCTCCCTCTGGCACCCTGTCTGGTCTCTACCTTCCCTCGTTCTCTATGAACCTGGTTAGTGGTGCTGACCTACAGGATGCGGGTGTCCACCAGTTCACTCCTACGCGCCAGCGGGTGACGCACTGCACCGACGCTAGCACGGGCCGACACCTGGCTACGTTTACCCGTCACCCGAGGTCGAGCCTGTACACACTGACCACTGCGTCTCCTCCCGCTGCTGAGTCTGGTCGGATAGCTGCGTCAGGTCAGGTGTTTGCTGCAGCGTCCAGGTCTGGTCCTGAGTTTGCCCCCTGTTCGTGTCGTCTCCTGTCTCACGAGACTCTCCTCTGGCACCACCGCCTTGGTCACCCCTCTCTGCTTCGGCTCAGAGGCATGGCCTCTCGTCTTCTTGTTTCTGGTCTCCCCCGGTCCCTCCCTCTCCTTCCTCAGGGCCGTGGCCCTACCTGTGTCCCCTGTGTCGAGGGGCGCCAGCGTGCTGCCCCTCACTCCTCCCAGTTTCCTCCGACAGAGGCCCCGTTGCAGACGCTTCACATGGACGTGTGGGGCCCAGCCCGCGTCCGTGGACAGGGTCACGAGCGCTACTTCCTGCTTGTTGTTGACGACTACTTGCGCTACACCACAGTCTTCCCCTTGCGCAGCAAGGGTGATGTCACTGAGGTGCTGATCGACTGGATCCGCGAAGCTCGTCTCCAGCTCAGGCAGAGCTTTGGCTCGGACTTTCCTGTTCTACGTCTCCACTCGGACAGAGGCGGAGAGTTCTCCTCTGGCCTTCTGCGAGCCTACTGTCGTGCACGAGGCATCCGTCAGACCTTCACCCTTCCGGACTCTCTGCAGCAAAATGGGATTGCTGAGCGCCGCATTGGCATGGTCATGGACGTCGCTCGTACGTCCATGATGCATGCGGCTGCCCCCCATTTTCTGTGGCCGTTTGCGGTCAGGTACGCGGCGCATCAGATCAACCTTCACCCCAGGGTCTCCAGGCCGGAGACCTCCCCAGCCTTGCTGTGGACGGGGAAGGTTGGCGATGCGTCGGCGTTCCGGGTCTGGGGATCTCGGGCGTTTGTCCGCGACTTGTCTGCGGACAAGCTGTCCCCTCGTGCTGCTCCTTGCGTCTTCCTTGGCTTCCCCCCTGACGCGCCTGGGTGGCAGTTCTACCACCCCACCTCTCGCCGTGTTCTGTCCTCCCAGGACGTCACGTTCGACGAGTCGGTCCCCTACTACCGCCTCTTCCCCTACCGCACTCCGTCCCTCCCCCTGCCCCCGCTCTTCCTGGTCCCAGGTCCCCCCCCCGGTAGATCCCCTCCCCCCTCAGGGTCCTACCCCTTCAGGTGTGTCCCAGGTAGACACAGTCGAGTCTGTCGAGGTTACTGGTGACTCTGGTGCTGCTGAGGGTGCTGAGACTGGAGGTGCTACGCCTGGAGGTCCTCCGGGGGCTTCGTCTCGCCGAGAGCCACTCTCTCCCCCGGAGCTGCGCGAGTGGTTTGCACGGCGCTGGAGGCGTGCTGCTAGAGCAGGAGGTTCTTCGACTGCTGAGGATGCTGGTGCCGCGGGTCCCGGAGGTGCTCGTGCTGGGAGTACTGGAGCTGCTGGGCCTGCGGGTTCGACTGGAGCTGGTGCTGCTGCGGGCGTTGGTGCTGAGCCTCCTGCCCGCGGTCCTGCTGGGGGTACTACTGGTGCTGCTGGAGGTTCTGGAGCTGCTGGAGGTGCTGCTGGAGCGGGTGCTCCTTCTTGGGGTACTGGTGCGGACCCTGCTGTGTCTGGCATCGCTGCGCGGCCTCGACTGTACTTCCTTCCACTCCTGCAGCAGGTTCTTGGTCTTCCGCCTTCTACAGGTCCTCCTCCTTCTTTAGAGTGTCCACAGCCTGTCCCGTCACAGCTACAGTTTCGGCCTGCCTCCCCACTCTCTGCTCCCTCTCCTTACACTGGTCCTACTGGAGGTCTAGCTGAGCGTCGTGAGCATGCGTCGCCTGCGTCGCCCTAGTGGTCGCGGTTCGCGTGAGCGTCCTCCTCCTGTCCCAAGCACGCACCAGATGTCTCTGCGTCCGTCCACTGCTCCTCTGCGTGCCCCTTTGCCTTCTCCTCCTGCGTCCTCTCTTCCTACTCTTCGTGGACTCTCTTCGTGCTGCCAGTCCTACTGTCACGAGCCTCCTTGCTAATGTCGTCACTGACCCTTCTTTCGAGTCCACTGCTGCGTCTGCCCTAGTTGCTGAGCTCGTCGACTTTGCTGCTCGCTGTCGCCTAGACTACGCTGCTAGTCTTGTCGCTGAGTCTGAGTCTGTCTGTCCTCCGTCCGTCGGGGGTGAGTGTGCTCTTGGCACGGACGTCCTTGAGGACAGGCAGGAGGAGTTCCAGTGCTTGGCCGCTGCTTCACCTCACCTCGTGTCCGTACTGCTTACCCCTGAGGGAGACCCGGATGCACTTGACATCCCGACTCCGCGCTCTTACACGGAGGCGATAGAGGGTCCCTACTCCTCTCAGTGGCAGGCAGCTATGGATGCAGAGATGGCTTCCTGGAAGTCCACAGGCACCTACGTTGACGCTGTCCCCCCTCCTGGGGCGAACATCGTCAGTGGCATGTGGATCTTCAGGGTGAAGCGGCCGCCGGGTTCTCCGCCTGTCTTCAAGGCGCGTAACGTGGCTCGTGGCTTCAGTCAGCGGCAGGGAGTTGACTACTTTCAGACCTTCTCCCCCACCCCGAAGATGACCACTCTCCGGGTACTGCTGCACGATGCTGCTCACCGTGACTACGAGTTGCACTCTCTCGACTTCAGCACTGCTTTCTTGCAGGGCAGCCTGCACGAGGAGATCTGGCTGCGCCGCCCTCCTGGCTTCACTAGGTCTTTCCCTCCTGGTACCCAGTGGAGTCTCCGGCGTCCAGTCTACGGTCTCCGCCAGGCGCGACGTGAGTGGCACGACACACTGAGGACTACACTTGCGGCTCTTGGGTTTGCTCCTTCTAGTGCCAACCCGTCGCTGTTTCTGCGCACCGACACCTCTCTGCCGCCCTTCTACATCCTCGTGTACGTCGACGACTTGGTCTTTGCCACAGCTAACACTGCTGGACTCGCCTACGTGAAGTCCGAGCTGCAGAAGAGACACACGTGCACTGACCTGGGTGAACTGGGCAGCTACCTTGGCTTGCAGATCACCCGGGACAGAGCACGCCGCACCATTACCCTGACTCAGTCACACATGGTGCAGCAGGTCCTTCAGCGCTTCGGCTTCACGTACTCCTCGCCTCAGGCCACTCCTCTGCCTACTCGCCACTCACTCTCAGCTCTGCCTTCGGATGAGTCCGTAGAGTCGAGTGGCCCGTACCCAGAGCTTGTTGGCTGCCTCATGTACCTGATGACCTGCACACGACCTGACCTTGCATACCCTCTTAGCATTCTCGCACGCTATGTTGCTCCTGGGAGACACCGACCAGAGCACATGGCTGCAGCGAAGAGGGTGTTGTGCTACTTGTGCAGTACGTCGGGCATGGGGCTAGTGCTTGAAGCGCGGAGTCCAGTGGTCCTCACTGGGCACGCAGACGCTTCCTGGGCTGACGACCAGGCTACGCAGCGGTCGTCACAGGGTTACACCTTCAGCCTTGGTTCCGGCTCTGTTTCGTGGCGGGCTACTCGCTCGTCTTCTGTTCTCGGCTCTAGTTGTGAGGCTGAGATCTACGCTGGGGCCATGGCTGCACAGGAGCTTCGCTCGCTCACCTACCTGCTGACTGACCTTAGAGAGCCGCCTCGTTCTCCTCCAGTTCTGTACGTAGACGACAAGGTCATGCTGGCCTTGTGTCGAGAGCAGCGACTGGAGCACAGAACGAAGCACATTGCTCTTCGCTACTTCCTTGCTCGTAAGCTACAGCAGCGTGGTCAGTTGCGGCTTGCGTACGTGGCCTCTGAGGCCAACATTGCTGATGTTTTCACCAAGGCACTTGCGCCTTGTGATCATCAGTGCTTCTGCACTCAGCTTGGACTTGTTCCTGTCTTGCCTCACTTGCTCACTTCTTGACCTTGCTTGTACTGTCATATATATATACTCTTGCTCTTGCTTACTTAGTCTCTTATATATATATATATATATATATGCTTCTGCATGTGAACTGGCCTCTGGCCTTGAACCTGTGCTCGGAATGTGTGGTGACTTTGTGATCCACCATGAGCTTTGCTTTGCTTTGCTTGACTGGTCTTGTGACCCCTGTTCTCCCCCACTTTGCCTATGGGGGTGTGTCTGAACTTTATAGCTTATGCTATTGTGTAGGCTATAGTGGGGTATCCCATAGGGGGTACAACCCAATTAGGGTTTCCTATTTGTACTCACTTCGTTCTTAGTTCATTCATTCTCGTTCTCATTTTCACAGCCTGTTGCTGCCCGTTGCTGCCTGTGCCTGTGCTGCCCGTTGCTGCCTGTTGCTGCCCGTGCCTATGCTGCCTGTTGCTGCCTGTTGCTGCTTGTGCCTGTGCTGCCCGTTGCAGCCCGTTGCTGCCCGTGCATGTGCTGCCCGTCGCCGCCCGTTGCTGCCCGTGCCTGTGCTGCCCGTGCCTATGCTGCCCCTGCTCTCCCCCCCCCCCCCCCTTCTTCGTCTCCTTGCTGCGCGTGCAGCTGTGGAACAGAGGCTATGGGGGTGGCGGGTATGGGGGTGATGGGTGTGTGTGATCCCCTTCCCCTCCTCGTCCTTTCTCTCCCACTGCTGCAACTGCTGCTGGGGGGGTGGGTGTGAGGGTGTGGGGGAGCTGGGGGAGAGGTGCTAGGGTTGTCGAGGAGTGTGGAAGGGGGAGTTGGAGGACTGAGGAAGGTTCCAGGAAGCAGCTGCCTTGGAGCCAGCAGCTTCACCTACCAGCAGCTTCTCCTCATATAGTCCCTCCTCCTCACTTGCCCTCTCCTTCTGCTGCGCTTGGTGTACCCCTTCAGGGGGTCTCTCTGCTGCAGGTAGTTATGGGGGAGTGTCAGAATATATCTGTAACTGCCCGTAGCTGTAGTTAGTGTAGTTTTTATAAACTTTGTTTGGTGGTGCACCTTCTTTGTTCCTTTGCTATATGTTCTTGCAAACCTATAGTGAAGCCCCTCATTCTCATTTACAATTTTCTCGACATTCTCCTCACCCTCGAACTTAACTACCAAGGCTCCTAGGCTATGGTTCCTAAGCTCACCTACTCTTAGCCTATCTCAACAGGAAGACGCAGGGAATAGCAAGGGGGGAGAGCTTGTCCGCAGTCAAGTCGCGGACAAAAGCTTGAGATCCCCAGGCACGGAACGCAGACGAATCACCAACCTTCCCCGTCCACCACAGAGTAGGTGTGGTCAGTGGCATGGAGACATGAGGCTGAGCTGATGCGCAGCGTACTGAACCGCGAACGGCCAGATCGGGGAACAGGTACGGCAGCATGAGGCCGCTAAGGGCAGCAGAGGCAGGGGAGGAGTAGCGCGCAACAACAGCATCATGCAGAGTCTTAGCAGTCTTGTACTGGCTAAAGTGCGTGCGCTCAGCAGACCGCAGGTGACTACGAACAGCAACATGAGCAGCAGCATCACGCGTGGTCCAGTGCGAGCAAACTGCTCTGTCAGCATCGGCAGCAGGTGCAACAGAGATGCTGGACGTGTGATCGAACAGTGTGCGGAGATAACTAGTGCAACGGGAGCTAGACTGCGGGCTAGGCACGGGGCAAGAGTGATCGTAGCGTTCGTTCGTTCCTTAGTCGTTTCCAATTGCTAATACTGCTTGCTAGTTCACGGGGAAAATCGGCAAGAGTTTCACTAGGGAAACATGACAACAAAAGTTCAGAATGATTTTATCAACATTGGCAACACTGACTACATCAGACCTAGCAAGGCTGCTGGTCCACTGCCAGCGCAGCACGGTCGACCGCGTGCCAGCACGACTTTGGTCGACCGCGCTCCAGCAGAGCAGAGTCGCGGCTTGCCAGCGTTGCAGGTCCGCGGTGTGCCAACGCTGCAGTAGGTCGGCTGCACAGCGTTGCATCCGTGGGACAACGGTGCACCAGCTTCGCAGGTGCGTGCAGCTGGTTGGCGCCCATCTCCCCGTCACACGCCCAGCGCAGACACTTCACCCGTGACGGCACCCAACAGCCACGTCGATCTCGGGATACCACCCCGAGGTCGTCCTCGCAGACAACATCCCCGGCGACTTTCGCGCACATCGCCCGGGTATCCTGGTTGACCGGGTATTTCGCGATCTTCCCGCGGTTTCTCGGCCACCGCGGTCCTCCGCGGTTTCATGGCTCCACGGTCCCCCGCGATTTCGTGGCTCCACGGTCCCCCGCGATTTCGTGGCTCCCACGGTCCACCGCGATTTCGTGGCTCCCACGGTCCACCGCGATTTCGTGGCTCCCACGGTCAGCTCCGCCCGAGCGAGGACGGGGCCAAACACAACTTCCGTTGACACTCCCCTGCCGCGTTCACGCTTGGGCTCCCCCCGGCCCACACGGCAGTACTGCTCGGAGAATAGCCCGTCGGGGTGCACACAACGCACAGCACGCCGGTCATCGCACCAGCCATGCAAAAGGGCATGGCACCTACTACTGCACGTCGTTGCCTCCGTCGCCCACATTGGCCAGGCGTACTTGGCCGATTGCAACGGAGCACTGGTTGAAGGCCGGGTAGTGCAGCGCCTTTGTCAGGAAGTCGGCCGGCTGTTCAGCGGTCGGGATGTACTTCAACGAAAACTTCCCGCGCTTCACCATGTGCTGCAGCCAGGCCTGTCGCCGTTCCATGTGCTTGAGGTTGCCCGTCAACCCCATGCCCTCCCCGACCGTGATGGCCGACTTGTTGTCCACCCTGAGGACAGTCGGCTTCCCAGCGTCCAGCCGCTGGAACTCCACGAGGAGGAAGCGAGGGCGACGTCCCTCCTTGCCGGCTTCGACGACCGCCACGTATTCCGACTCGATCGACGACAGTGTCGCGCACTTGATGCGCTGGCTCGACCAAGAGACCGCGGCCCCTTCGTAGACGAACACGTAGCCGCCCGTGCTCATCCGGTTCTGCTTGTCGCCTGCGTCGTCGGCGTCCCGAACAACTCCAGTGACTCCGGACCACCGCCGAACTCCAGGGCGGTGTCTCGCGTGTTGGCGAGGTAGGCGAGGCAGCGGTCGACTTCGCGCCAGTGCTGGTCGCTCCTCGCCGTGAGGCCGCTCCCCAGCTTGCTACACGCGAATGCGATGTCCGGCCTCGTCGTCGTCGCCGCGAACTACAGCGAGCCAACCTTCTGCCGGTACTCCTCCTCCTCGTGCTCCTACGCTTCCCCGTCATCGAATGTCTGCTGCGTAGGCGGCGACAGAGACCGGCGTCTTCGGAGTGCGCCCGGTCTGCTCCTCGTCAATGAAGCGCCTGCGCAGCTTGTTCGCATAGCCCTGCTGGTGCAGCCACAGTTTTCGCGCCGGCCTGTCGCGCACAATCTCCAGGCCGAGATACTTCTGCACCGGTGAAATTTCGCGCAGCTCGAAAGCGGCCTCAAGCAGCTCCTTCAGCTCCTTCAGCATCTCGGTGCTGCTGCTCGCGGCGAGAAGCTCGTCGACGTAGACCAGCACCCAGCAATTCACCTTGTCGTTGCCGGCCTTGAAGTACAGAGCCTCGTCGACTTGGCTCTTCTTCCACCCGGCGCCAACCAACACATCGTTGAGAGCCGTGTACCACACCAGCGGCGACTGCTTCAGCCCATAGAGGCTCTTCAGCAGCTTGCACACCCGACCTGTCCCGTCGTTGAAGTAGTCCGGCTGGTACATGTACAGCACGCGGTCGAGCTTGCTCTGCAAAAAATCGTTCTTCATGTCCAGCTGCATTAGGTTGAGGTCGAGGACGGCGACGATGCTGAGGAAAATCCTCAGCGTGACATAGCTGCTCATTGGCGCGTACATCTCGTCGTAGTCAGCGCCATACACCTCCATGAAGCCTTTCACGACCAGCCTCGCCTTTTCGCGCTCGAAGTGTCGTCGATGCGGTACTTCGTTGTCAGCACCCACCGGTTCTTCATTATGTTCACCCCCGGCGGGCGTTCGACAAGCTCCCAAGTGCCCATGTTGATTAGGCTACGAATCTCCTCCTCCATGGCGGCCTTCACTGCCGGGCCCTTCCAGCTCGCCAATGCCTCCTTCACCATCATGGTCAAAATGTCCCAACGGTGCTCTGGATCGGCGTGCATGTCGGGGTCGAGCTCCGAAAACTCCTCATCGTCCTCGGCGTCATCGTACGACAGGTCGTCGTCGTCCACATCGTAGACCGTGGTGAAGGAAGCGGGGACGAAGAAGTCAGGTGGCCTACAAATTCGGCCCGACTTACGAGGTCTGGGCTGCACCTCCACCACGTCGCTCGACGTGCCTTCATCGAACTGCTCTTCTGTCGTCCGCTCCTCTTAAGCGAGCTCCGCATTCGACAGTTCCTCTGAAACGCGCTTCCCGTTCGACGGCTCCCCTATCGACAGCTTCTCTACAACGCGCTTCCCGTTCGAAAGATCCCCTGCCAACTGCTCGGCGGTCAGCTTCGCTGCTGCACGTTCCCCTATCTGCTGCCTGCTAGCCGCGGGCTCCTCCGCGGTCTCCTCCGCGGTCGGCGTGGCGATCTCCTCCGCGGTTTCCTCCGCGGGCTCCTTCGCGGGTTCCTCCGCGGTGTCCTTCGCGGTTTCCTTCGCGGTCTCCTCCGCGGTCCTCTTCTCCGCGACTGGCTGGGCGTCACGTCGGCCACCGGCGATGCTCTTGGCCGGCGCCACAGGCGACGCCCCACGACTCCCCTCATAACCAGAGGCCGACACCGGAGGCAGGCCACGAAGTTCGATGGGAAGGGAATGGGAAGAAGGGGCAGGAGATGGCGAGACAGGGGCGACCGCTCGCAGGTCGGGGTAGTGCTCCTCCAGCGTCGCCACGGTTCCGCGGGCGAAGCCCATCAGCCCGGCCATCTCCAGCTGGGGCTCGATGGCTTCCTTCCACGTTAGGATGTCGGGACGACCGACCAGCAGAGGGGTGACCTGTGAAGAATGAGGAATGAATGAACTAGGAAAGAGG